CCCCCCCCCCCGGCTCAGTTTAAAGTCTTCTGGATGAAGCTCGCTAGAGCATCTCCAAAGGACCTTTTTCCCATCCTCGTGAGGTGTAACCCGTCCCTTGCCAGAAGTCCATTGGCAAGAAAATGAGTGCCGTGGTTGAGGAACCCGAAGCGTTCCTTCTGGCACCACACCCTAAGCCAGTCGTTCACCTCGGAGGCCCTCCTGGCCCTTCCTGGCCCAAATCCTCGGACAGGTAAGAAGGCCACTTGGGCCTTCAGCTCCCTGAGTTTCTTCTCCAAGGCCTCAAAGTCCCTGGTGACCCCGAGCCACGTCATTTGTGCCCACATGGATCACCAGGAGTGGCTGGTGACCCCCAGAGCGAACAAGACACTCCACTCTGTCCTTTTGCGTGTGCCCGGCAGGCAGCAAACCTCCCTTGTCTCCAGGTTGGGGCGGCACACTGCCACCTCAGTGCCCCTCAGCACAGAGTCCCCAACAACAATCACCCTTGCTGCCTGACGTCCCAGGCTGGGGGTCCTGCTGGTCCCCCGAGGCCTCATCAGTCCCAGCCTCCCTAAGCAGAGAGAACCTGTTTCCCAGCTCCAGATTGGTGCCAGGAGAAGGAGGAGGCCGTGCTGGCCTCCTCCTCCTGTGGGTGACATACCTCCATGTTTCCACAGCTGCTCCTCCTGTGGTCTCTCCCTCAACCGTCTGTCCAGAGGGGGGCTGCTCCTGGGGGTGGGGCCTGGAGAGCTCTCTTGGACCTCAGGCACCTCTTCTAGCAGGGTCACCATCTTGCACCGAGGGCAAGTGTATCCCTGCCTCTCCTGGGAGAGAAGGGCGAATATGTCGCAGCTCTCGCAGCGGACAGCAACACCCGTGACTCCCGCCAAGACCCTCTCCTGGTCTGCCATTGGTATCCCTTCCGAGACCTTACCTTGGTCCCCTGCCTTGTTTGTCCTGCAGTTCCTCTCACTCGCCCAGTTCTCCCAGACAAAAACCCACTCGCACACACACACAAGGATAAAATAAACTTAAATTGGAAGAAAAACAAAGCACAGCACAGCGCAAACAAAAACAAACAATCAAACCTCTGTGTCTCAGGGAAGGGAGTCTCCGGGCAGCCTGGGACGCAGCCAAGGGACGCAGACAAGGGACAACGCCCTTCCTCTCCACTGCTCCTGGCCCTCTGCTCCCCTGCCCAGCTCCTACCTTGCCTTCGTCAGTCCCCTGGCCACTCAGCACTCTCTCCCAGCCTGTGCCTCTGCTGCTCTGCCAAGATGCCAGAGCCAGATGGGTAGAGACCTGTTCTCCCCTGCAGAGGAAGGCAGGATGCGCTCCAATGGAGCAAAGCTCAGGGAGCCAAGGTTCCATTTGGATGCCAGGAAGCATTTCCTGACAGTTAGGACCCCGGGGTATGGAATGGGCTTCCACAGGAGGTCGTTGAGGCCCCATCGGTGAGGGTGTTCAGGGATAGGCTGGACATGGACATGGTGGGCATGTCGTGAGCGGAGCTGGCTGGAGCCGGGGGTCAGACTGGATGGCCTGGGAGGCCCCTTCTAACTTGCTCTGTTTCTTTGTTTCTATATAGCTCATGGGCTGCTTTGTCTTCTTTATGTTAAGACATGTGAAACATGTTAGGGGTATAGAATTTGGGTATAGAATACAGAAAACAAGCTGCTTTCTCAGACTCCACAGGCAATGTATCAACAGATACATGTCACTTACTAATTTTTCTTCTTTTCAGGTGGACTTTGAACAACTTCGGGACAACTTATGTCAAATGGAGAAACGGTGCAAAGCATCATGGGATCATCTAAAGGCCATAGCAAAACATGAAATGAAATCAACTTTAAAGCAAAAAATGTCTGAGTTCCTTAAAGACTGTGCAGAAAGAATAATCATTTTAAAGATAGTTCACAGAAGAATAATTAACAGGTAGAACACCAGGGCATACTACCATTAGTATGTTATTTAAATGACTCCACAAAGAAGCCTTTTGCCATTTCAAGAAGTCCAGGGTTGATTTTTTGAAATGTATTATTGTTCCAATTAATTTAGCCCATTTTCCTGATAGACATATAATTGGAAAATCAAATTATTTTCCCAAAAACTCAGAAAATAATTTATTCAAATCTGAAATTTATTTATTAAAAAACAGAATTACACTGTTTAAAGACAAAGCTATCACAAGACATCTTCCATAAAAGCATAGAAATATAGTAAAGATAAAACATCACAATATATCAAATAGTGTAATTGTTACAAATACTTTCCATCCAAGTATGCACATGCATTCATATATTTTAAAAATCAGAATGGCTATTCAGGCCTTAGGATACCTAAAGATACTTAGGATACTTGGGGCTGCCCTTGAAGACGGTGCAGATACTTCAGCTGGTACAGAACAGAGCTGCCAGGTTGCTGACGGGGACCGGTCATTATTCTCACATAATGCCAGTCCCCTACCAGCTACACTGGCTTCTAGTTGAAGTCCAGGGCCAATGCAAGGTGCTGGTTTTAACCTATAAAATCCTGAATGACTTGGGACCAGGATACCTGAAGGAGCACCTCTTCCCTTACATGCCCTCATGTCCCTTAAGATCTGCAGGAGAGGCTCTGCTCCGGGAACCCTCTTTAAAGGAGATAAAAAGAACATCTACCCGGAGCAGGACCTTCTCTGCAGTGGCACCCAGATTATGGAATGTGCTCCCTGTAGAGGTGTGCCTGGTGCCAAATTTATATTCTTTTCAGTGCCAGGTCAAAACTTTTTTATTTAATCACTATTTTAAAAAATTATTATTTTAATTGTGTCGAACAGTTGCTTTGATTTTGTCCTTTATATAACCTTTTATTGAATTATGTTATTTATACATGTGATTTTACTGTATTTCAATTTTATGGCTTGTGAGCTGTCCTGAGATGCCAAGGCATAAGGGATGGCATACACAAGTTTTAAATAAATAAATAGTTTCGTTAGTAGCTCACTGCCTTAGGTTATTACCCTCAAAAAAACTGGTTTTTAATAGAAACATGATGTTCATATTAGGACTTTTAAAAATTATGTTACAATCCTATGAAGATTTAGACAGAAATAGGACCTACAACTCCCAGCATTCCCCAGCCAGCATTCTGACAATTGTAAGATCTGCCTCTGACTAAATGTGCATAAGATTACATGGGGGGTGGGGGGGTGGTCATTGGCAGTTTCTCAAGCACAAGTCCTACTAGAAGGAATGGGTACTCTGTCAGAATATGGCTGCTTTCTTGTCATTTTCATTAACTGAGCTCACTTTTTTCCATTCCCTTGTTACAGCAGTTTCTGACCAGAAAAGAAAAACCATTAAAAATGTGGTGTATGTACACTGACTGCACTTGGATGTCAGATTTTTTTTAAAAAAGAACAACTGGCTTATTGTAAGCAAGCTGGCATAGTAGTGCATTGGCTCAATCACTTCAACTTGGCTCCTTGTATTAGCTCTCAGTCACTATTTTAGTTAGTATGACAGCTGAACAAGAAACTTCAGGCTGTCTCTCTCTTGAGAAACCAGAGATACATCCCAGGGCTTGTAAAACAACCAATAAATTAAAAAGTATGGCTTATCATGACATCTGAACTCAGCCACTGTTGTTCATGGGGAATAAATATCACTATAGAACATCAGAAATGAAAGAAATCATAAGGTAGCTCTCCTAATACAGAGGAACTATTAACATTACAAACCTGATCCTGAAGAATCAGGATTTCATGGCTTCTTTTATGAGTTAGTTCTCTCCTCTGTGGTTAACCTGCAAGTTTTCATTTTTCTTGTCTAGACATTCCCAAACATCTCAACCTCTTTGAAGTTGGACTATTATATATAAAAATGGAAGTCAAATAAGATAAATAAGTTGTCCAATACCCCCTACCCCAAAATAACATATTCATTGTGAGACATGGTTCTATTTTAACATTTAAGCATCTTCATGTGAAAATAGATTGGAAGGCAGTTATCATAGATCTTCATTTTATGGTAATTCTGTTTTTAATTATGATGCCAAGGGAATCCATGAAAAAACTGGCACGCATTGGAAGCATTTGAATTCATAGTTCAAGAACAAGTTATCTAGCTTATGTGTCTGTAATAGACTCTTTTTGAAAAACGCTCCTACATTTAAGGCTTGCCCTACTCCAAAGGGCAATAAACAAAGCCTTTTACCTACTTCAAGTGGTCTTCCCTCAAAATACTGATGCAACAGTAGTTGAAGAGGGCTGAGAGGCATCTTGTTACTTGTTGGGAGGAAAAAAACCCTGTAAACATAATTCCTTTTGGTTTTCTAGGTTCCATTCCTTCTTGTTATTTATGGGCTACCCTCCCTATGCAATCCGTGACGTCAACATCAATAAATTCTGCAAAATTGTTAGTGAATTTGCTCTGGAGTATCGCACCACCAGGGAACGGGTTTTGCAACAAAAGCAGAAGCGAGCCAACCACCGAGAAAGAAACAAAACCAGAGGGAAAATGATTACAGACGTAAGTGCAAAATAATTCTCATTCAGCAAACAAACTCTTTATTATAGTCACAGACCACAGTATAAAACAAAAGTATTGGAGTCCCTTCACCAATACCATAAACAACATAGGATTCAAGTATATTAAATATTACAGTTCTTAACTGTTTTGCCAAAGGCAAAGAGTTCTTTTTGGATCCAGATGCAATGAGCAGACAGGTGGGTTAAAGTCAAAAGATTTTATTCTAAGGCAGGCACAACAGACATAACAACATGAAGGAAAAAAAAAGAAAGAAATACAACACCAAGCAAGCTGACCTTCCTCAATCAGCCATTGGGAACCCCCTTCACGAACGGCAAGGAAAACCCCCTATTTGGCCAGGTGTGTAGCACCTTCCTCCCTCAGCTAGGTCTACACTGAAGCTTGCCTTGGGCAGAGAGAGCCACAAGACTTTTTATCCTAAATCTTAGAGTGTTACATGCTGTAGAAAACTACATGCTATTCAAAACAGTTAATTGGCCACATCTGCTGTTCGCAGGTCTCAGGATGATAAGTTTGGTATTCCAAGGTCATACCATCCTAGTCAGCAAGTGACTTAGAATAACACTCTTTTGCATGCTGGAGAGACTCAACTGAGTTTTTAAGCGGGGGGGGGGGCTCTTTTTTTAAGGTAGAAATAGAAGGGCAATTGTGTCACACCACCCTATCTCCTTGATATACAATATTTCGGTGGTTTTTCTCTATACCAACATTAAATGATGCTAAAGTTAGAGATAAAAATAAGACATAAAATGTCAATAGAATAAAGCCTCTCAGCAACCTGCGAATGGTCCAAATTAATTTTTAAAAAATTGCCGCAATTCAGTATCTTTTTCCAGGTATTAATCATGGCTGCAGAAACCTTAGCAGCACTGTATGTAATAGTGGGATTATAGTCTAATAGTAATAGCTGTAATATTGATTCGGAACCTATTCAGCAATGGGGAAATAAAATCAGTGCAAATGTTCTGTAGAACATACAGCTAAACAGAACATGGTCTATGGTTTCAATTTCTTCTGAGCTGCAAGGGCACAGCTGCTCTACAAACGGAGTCTTTTTATAGCAGCCCTCTAAGACTGCCAGTGGAAGTCCATCGCAGCAGGCCAATGTGAAACCCCTTCTATATTTGGGACATTTAACAAAAATACAAGTTCTGTTGCTAGCAGGTGACATGATGAAGATCCAGAACTCCAGTTGGCAATCCTTTTTGTAAAATAACCTCTGAGAGGTAGAAGATGTAGCTGCAGAATATAGCAACTTAAAGCAGCAGAGTCTAGCTTCTTTGGCCTTAGTGAAGCTGAGCTGGCATTGGAACTACCTAAGCCTTAGGAAGTTCCCTTCTTGAATCAGTGTGCATGCATACATCAGATTGCATTAAGTGCCCACATCCAGTAATAAGAAATCAGAACTGAGCTATGAGATCACACACAGTCTCCCAGTAGTCTCCTACTTCACCTCTCTCAGGTTCTTCCTTCTGCCATCCCTGAGTTTAACTAGTTAAGTTTTATATGGACACTACGTATCAACATTAACTGATTACACCTATGTCTATTCCTGCGTGACATCCAAAGCATCAGAGGTTGTGCATTTGCTGAACAAATACTTGGGCTTGGTGATAGGAAGGAGGAGAACCAACAAATTAGCCTGAATCCTGACAATATAGGGATTGTATTAGTGGGTGATATTCTCAGACATGGAAACTGCAAGAAAGGGGGGCTCTAGTTGGGTTGCACTGGCTCAGAAATACTAGGTATGTCATTTGGCAGTGTCCCTTGATTCCTCTGTCACTAGAAACCCAAGTGACTTTTGTAGTGAAGAGTATCTATTACCTGCTTCAGTTGGTACGTTAACTATGACCTTTGCTGGACAGGAATAGCCAAGTTGATCTTGTCTGTGCAGTTGCAGCTAAATTCACATTTAGATTAGATTAATGTACTTCATTGTTGCTAGATTCTGAAGCTACAGCTGGCACAGATTGCAGCAACCAGAAAGCAGAATGGGTTGCCTGGCTGTGCACATATTACATTGGTGTTGAAGCTGCCCTGGCTGCCTATTATCCTTATATCTGGTATACAAAGCCCTGAATAATTTAGAAATAGGTTACCTGGTATATTGCCTTCCCCATGCAATGGCTGAGATCTACATGGGAAATACTGTGTTTGTAATTTCCCACTGGCATTCACAAGGAACCAACTATGGTAAATTTTAAGCATCTGTTAAATATCCAAATCTGTTAAATAGCCCTAACCTTACCCATCTTTGATTTATTGTACTACCAAGTTTATTTCTGTGGTGCTTTATTTTATTTTTAAAGGTTTGACTAAGGACTATTTATATTTATTGTAATGCTTTCTTTGAATCTCTCACTTGCTAAATACCTCAAGATATTTTTTAGATATGATCAGCTGTGCTAACAGCAGAAATGTGAGCCAAATAAGATGCAAGATTTGTATCAAAATTCTTAAGGCAATGGGATGAAAATCATATTTTAGATTACTGACTTCTTATTTTTTATGTAGCACTAAGGTTCTAATGTGCAGTTTTAATTAATAAAATGAGCCAATGTGTGTCGACTTCAAGTATGACACAGAAAATAATTCAATTTCAATCTTAGAAGTTTCTAATCAGGAATATTAATTTGGGCTCAGAATGGATCATTCCTAACAGAGATTGTTGAATGGGTTGCAGGAGATGGGTGCACAGCTTGGTTTTCTTTAAAAAAAACACTGTTTTCTCTCAAGTGACCTTTAAAAATCCCCAAGGTTTTGAAATCTTATTTTTAAGTTTATGCAGTTTCACTCAGTCCAGATAAAGTTTAAAGGAGTGTCAGTACTTAATAAAATCTCCCAGCTGCCTTAAAATTCCAACTGGAGTCTCAATTAGATGCGGATGCTTTACTGCATACAGAGCTACCTCTGTCTGGGTTTTTGGCATGAGCTTTTGAGCTGTGCAGTGATTAGTGATGTGGCCAACAGTCCATGCAAGCTAAATTAAAAAATAAAAATCCACACCAAAATCCACACCATCCTTAAAAAGGATGCAAATAGCCATGTATTCAATCCCTGCCTCACTATATTTGTAGATCTTTGTTGGCATAGTTACTGGAAATTCAACTCACATTGATTAAATTTTTGTATTCTTATTATACAAAAATCAGTTTCTTTTGATTCAGATTTCTCATAAAGAAATTGGTCTTTCTGTATTTTGTATAATGTTCTATATATTTGGCAAAATATGTCATTGCTCTTATTGATAGCAGCTGCTGTAGTGGTACTGAGGTACAGATGTGGGGAAGGGATGATGTTCTATTGACTGTATTAGCAATCCTCTCCTGCATCGATGTGGTACGCTTATTTATAACTGGTTTGCTTATACATTTCATTCATTTGTGTGCGTGCGTCTCCTTATCAGGCCTAAAATCGTACTTCCCAGGCCCATCTTTCCTGACAAGCTCACATGCTATGGTCTTTTCCCAACAAAAGATCAGGAGAAGTAGCCCAGGGTGAATGACTCTGCTTAGAGGAGCTCAGCCTGCCTTCCAACCACACATGTGCATCCACACACACACACACACACACACACACTGGTATTTCCTATTGTTATTTTATTTAAGTTTAAAAATATGTTAACATAATTTATTATATTTTATTATCTTAATAATGCTGTTCTTATTTTTATACAGAATTAAAATTAGTTCCCATTAATGTTATTATCAAAAAAGTCTTAGAGAAGGATATAGAAGATTACAAATGTTTGTAACTTCAGTTTCTAATGTGACTGTTCACAAAGCATACTATTTTAGATCCTTTTGTTCTATCTTCTAATTAAGCATATTTATTATTATTTTATTTATTTTATTTAAAACATTTCTATGCCGCCCCATTCACCGACGCCTCGGGGCAGCTCACAACATAAATTAAAATATAATACATTAAAAATATAAAACAAATTAACAATATAAAATAAGTCACCCTGGCCAGATAATAAGTCACCACGAATGTGTTCTTCTCTGACTGTATCATATGCTAACTATATTAAATTATATCTATATATAAATTAAATCAGGTGCTTAATAGTTATGGGAGGTAAGAAGTGGGGTGATTAGTATCTAGACCAGCAGGACATGCATCAGAAAGCTGCAGTGTGGAATGCTTGCAGTTTAGGGACACTGCAATATTTCAAGATACTCCATTCCATCATATATGAAATGTGGCCACTCCCAAGGTAGACAATGTGATGGAGTGAGGAGAGGCTAATAGCAAACATCAACCTGGTCCTGAGAAGTAATTATAAGAAGTCACAGAAACAGAGCAAGTCAGAAGGGGTCTCCTGGGCCATCTAGTCTGATCCCCAGCTCTAGCCGGCTTCACTCATAACATGCCTACCACGTGCATGTCCAGCCTATTCTTGAACACCCGTACTGATGGGGCTTCAACCACCTCCCGTAGAAGCCCATTCCATGCCTTAGGAGTTCTAACTGTCAGAGTGTACTTCCTGGCATCCAAATTGAACCTTGGTTTCCTGAGCTTTGCTCCATTGGAATGCATCCTGCCCTCATCCACAGGGGAAAACAGAACTCTACTCACCTCAAGGTCTCTACCCACTTCCTCACATACCTATATGTCACCAAAAGATCCCCTCGAAGTCTCCTTTTCTCTATGCTGAAAAGACCCAGTTCCCTCAGTCTGACCTCACACAGCTTCCCGTGCAATATGGCCACCATCCCTGTGGCCGTACACTGCACCGATTCCAGCCTGGCTATATCTTTCCCCATCGTTGAGGGGTCACTGAGGCCCCATCAGTGATGGTGTTCAAAGATAGACTGGACATGCACGTGGTGGGCATGTTGTGAGCAGAGCCAGCTGGAGCCGGGATCAGACTGGATGGCCCGGGAGGCCCCTTCCGACACATTCATGTAATGTAGAGCCCAGAACTGAAAATGATACTCCAGCTGCAGATGCACCAGAGTCTTGTAAAGTGG